ACTGGGTTAAAATCAATGTGAACGATGTAGTAAGCAATAAGGAACAAAATACGATTAATTGCTGTTGGTTGTTCTCCTTGGATATACAGTAATGGCCTTTAGCAGAGCAAGAATCATTCATTTGTAGGAAATGACATAACTAACAATATTGGGATTGAGCATTTCAGTTTGTCCTGAATTTTAAAAGACTTAGATAAAACAGGAGAGGAAGACAGTAAATGGTTAGAAATACATGAAGAAGGGGTAGCCACAGGGAGAGTTTGGAGTGCAAGGAAAAACAAAGGAAAGATAAAAGTGTGTAGTTTAAAAGCTGGGAATACCTGCTGTAAACATTATACAATTGATAAAGTACAGTAGGTAATCAGAAAGAAGTCTGTTGTAGTTTGAAGATAAAAGCAACATAACAGATAACATCATATACTCCATCTAAAGCCTTTTTCAAGATAAGATGTTTATGTCTTCTTCCTATTCAGGTCAACACAATCCCAGTACATGCAGATAAACATGTTTACTGAAACAAGTACTTTGTAAAATAAGCAATATGGTCCCTATATATTATATATGAAAAAGACAAATACAAAATACAAGGTGCCTCTTCCAAACCGCAAAGCCATTGCTGTTACACTTTGGAATTTCAACTTTCTGGAAATGTCTTCTCTCTGAATTTGGCTTACTGGTCTGAACACAATCTTCATATTGATTCAATGAAGATGTGAACATCCATGCACTAAGAAAGGCTTCAGACCTCCTCAACTGCATACAGTAGCAATACACTGTTTGCATTCCATATTTATACAATATATACTATAATGCATACAGTGTTGTAAAGCCATTGGACTACTACAGAAGGCACAATAAAACACATGCCTGGAGGTCCTCTGTCTTTCTGACCCCATTCCTGGCACTCAGTTGCCTGCCTTCTATCGCTGCCCCATCTTTTGTGCGGTCTTCTTTATATTTCACAAATGATCCAGGTGAAATAAAGTTCACACTAGCCATTAACTGTCCTGTGCACCCAGTCTGTCCTCACCCTAAAGGCCAGTTTCAAACATCTAAACACAACGTCTGACTTCACCCATTGGAATGTTTTGAAGCCTCGAGCTTGGCAGTTTGCCCTTTTCCACCTTTGTTTTGTGTAAGTATATGTGAGGGTTGTGAGGGTTGGGCCACCAAACGTTGAAGAATATATTTTTATTTGACCAAAATATAACTTTAAAAAATGTGAAATAATTTTCCAATTTGGGTGCATAGAGTATCTATCTACCTCTATCCATCTTTGTCAACTGAAATCACGCTGTAAAAAGGTTGCAACTATTAGATGAAAAAATTGACGAATGCAAACTGGGCAATGCAGATTGCAACCTGTCAATCACAGGGTAACCCCGCCCTTAAGTTTACAATGCTTAATCTTCTATTTAACTCTAAATGGGACCATCCGTTACACAATTATCATCATACTGTATTGATGAAGACCTGAAGCTAGACATTAACATCATACAC